CACCTGAGCTGCAGCAGTATGACAGCACAGCTCACCTGGACCTGTCACACAGGTGTCACATACCCGCTGGCTAACCTCAGCCGGGAGAGTCAGCTGAGATCGGTTGGCCGCTGATTCATCACCGTTTGTCTCCCCAGACGCACTACCTCTGTGTATGTGTGTGTGTGTGTGTGTGTGTGTGTGTGTGTGTGTGTGTGTGTACATGTGGGTGGGTGTGTTGCTGTTGTTGTGTTTGAGCAGCCGATAACACATACAGCAGCTTTCACTGCTCACTGAGGGATGGAGTTCCCATAATGCACCAGGACACTGATAGCATCACCCATTAGTGCAGCCAAACAAGCTCAGGAAATGGGTCGCTGACTGTCAGGCTGAGTACCTGATCTGTGATTGACCGATACAAGAGAAAGTAAACAAACCAGCCAATAAGGCTAAGGACACGTGTGACTCACTTGGATCTATGAGCTTCATCCTCCTGCAGTCTGACGGGTTGGCACTGATTGGACAGGTGTACACTCCTCCTGTGTGATTGGCTGGAACATTTGGCTCCGCCTTCTCTCTGGGGGCTCCGACTAATAGCCTGTCGGGATGACACAGACGGCACAGTTAACGTTTGAGATTCTGGGTGGAATAAATGAGGAAACGTCTGAAGGACACACAGAGGACACGGGTCGCCTCCTTCAGTCACGTGACGTGAATTATCTGAAGATGAGCAAACCAGCCCAGCCTTGCAGAGACAGGTCGGGGGACTCTGTTTGTGTCAGTGCCGTCTACATTTAGTCTCACAGTAAAGTTTTACTGGAACAAACGTGTCCTCCCAGCTGAGAGCTCGTTCACAGCAGCCTGACCTGACTGTGCATCTGTACCTGTTTAACTGCTGCTGTGGGGTCCCAACTGCTTCACAGCTCAAACCCTATCAAACACACATTTGAACTCTGCCTGTCCTTAGGCATCACTACCTGCTTAACGTGTCTCCCAGAATCACCTGACTATGCATAGTGTCCTCAAGAACCCATAAGACCATGGCAGATGGCCCCGCCCCTCCCTGAGCCTGGTTCTGCTGCAAGTTTCTTCCTGTTAAAAGGGAGTTTTTCCTTCCCACTGTCACATAGGGGGTCATATGATTGTTGAGTTTTTCTCTGTATCTATTATTGTAGGGTCTACCTTACAATATAAAGCGCCTTGAGGTGATAGTTGTTGTGATTTTGAATTATTGATCATGAGTGTGACAATCACAGAGGAACACACCTGGGGGGAGGGGGGGAACTTCCAATCAAAGACATTGACCTCCTAACCCCTGAACACTCCAAGGAAGCTACATTAGAGAGTGTGTGTGTGTGTGTGTGTGTGTGTGTGTGTGTGTGTGTGTGTGTGTGTGTGTGTGTGTGTGTGTGTGTCAGCTAATCCAATTACAGAGTATAAAGAGACAGTTGTCACGGTGACTAGAGACAGACAGCTGGGTGGCCTCTGTGTGACCGCCTCTCACATAGAGACAGGAAATGTGCAGCTTTAGTGTGACCTGCACTTCCTGTTAGACCCCCATCCAACCTCAGTTTACTCTCACACGATACTCTGCAGACAGTAGCTGCGCGCAGAGACTTGAGCTGCTTTTATTTTGAAAGTTTAACCTAAAAATGTGTGTGTGCAGTGTGAGGCTGCACCATGTGACCTGCCGGCATCTGCTCGGACTCACTCTGACGATAAACGCCGCGCTGACAGAGGTGGGCGCTGTCACTCCTCTGCTCCCCGACATTACGGAGCCCCCGAAATCCTCCTGAAGCTCCACCTTTCTTAATACCGCCTTGTCCTTTATCTGCTGTTTGCGCAGACTTCAGAAGAATTCAGACATATTATTAACGCTGTGGGGCATTCACCTGACTGTGTGTGTCTGACGCACACACACAGAGTACGGTGTGTGTTTGATAGGGTCCAGTGAAGGAAGCGGAGAAGTCGGCCAGAATTCGGTGGAGAACAGTCACCTGAAGCCAGACAGACCACTCCGTGAAGCCAGAGAGCGGACAGAAATGTTGCCCACGACGACCACAAAATGATCCAGTGACGTCCTCACAACTCCAAATGCCATGTTTATTATTCACACATGAAAGTGTTTCTGAGATATGACCTCACTTCCTGTTTTACTGCTGCTTTGATTAGCTGTGATAGATTTGGTTCTAACTGATGAAAAGTGGAAAACAATGTTGCTTTGAACTCTGCTTCATCAAAATAATCCAGCAGTTCTTCATCTATAGAAAAGGACCCACACAAGCCCGCTCTGTCACAACACTGGTGTTAATGGTCACTTTGAGGACAGTAGAGATCTGCTGACCTAAGGTTCAGTCTGAAGTCAGATCATTTACCCGGACACACCTAAAAGCAGATGTACAGCTAGCACACACACACACACACACACACACACACACACACACACACACACACACACACACACAGGTGTGTACTCACAGGTAGCTCTCTGTCTTCAGGTCTTGGTGCAGAGCAACAGAAAATCCAAACAGACTTCCTCGTTCGCCCATCTTCAGCAGTGGAAATGATGTGTCGAGGTTAAACGCTGCACACACGCTGATACACACAACCAGCAACATGCCCACACCTGTTGCCATGGAGACACACACCTGAACAGCAGAAAAAAGTCAGAAGTGCGATTGTCAGTAAGTTATCTTTAATGTCACACGGGTTTTATTCTACCTGGCTGTATCGTCATGGTAACTGATGCTCAGTGGAAGACGTATGAAATGTGAAAGCTGCTGAGCCGTACCTTTGTCGTGTCATCAAATGAGTCCTGAGTGAATCTCTCAGAGTGTTAAAATGCTGACTGTGGTCTGGATAGCCATCTATCTCTTTCATGCAGACGACACTGTTATTGATGAGCCTCTTTATACCCTCACAGTCACACTCCACCGTGAACTTAATCTGCTGCATTTCAGGACGTTTTGGTATAATCTCGAAAAAACTGGATTGGGGTTGTATTTGGAAATGTAATTCACAAAGGTAGCATGAAAATCAAAAGTCAAAGATTATTGTAATCTTTTATTTGAAGTTTGAATCTCTGGAAGCAGGATTGATGCTGCTCAGCTTTCTCTGGGTTATGTTAAGAAAGAGTGCAGCTCATCCAAGCTGTGTGAGCTTCCTACTTTGTGATGATCTGCTGGGATTGGTGGTGGTCGCTCTGCCACGGTTGATTTGAAGTTGGTATGGAAAATGAGGATCACTTCATCATTCTACCTGCTCACAAGCATAATGGAGATGCTGATTTCTTTTTCAGGCAGAGTTTAGCAGGTGTCCGCAGCAGCAAAGCTAAAGGAAACAGTTTTCTGGTCACCCTGAACGCCACAGAGAATCTACGAAAGTCACTTCACCCAAAACTTCAGTAACACCTCAGCAGCTATGAGCTTTTCTCCTCCGTGCTATCGTTGTGTTCCTTATCCTTTTCTACTGTATTTCCTTGCAGCTCTTTACTCTTCTCTCTGTGTTTTCTGTTGGGTTTATGTCTTTCAGTAAATACTGAGAAACTGTCTTTCTGTGAGCTGCAAACAGTATACCTGTACTGACTGTATTTTTACTTTCACTTCAGGCTGTTCGTTCTGGCACTAATGAAACATTAATTACATGTAACAGCGCATTAAATATGAAGTGTTTTTATGCTCTCTTCTATCCCACACAGACACTTTACTCTCACAGCATCTTTACCCAGCAGACTTACAGTACATTAGCTTTAGATGTGGAGTATTTTGACTCTGTGGCACTTCATTACAGCGTGAGGACACCCGTCTAACCCTGGAATGAATTTACTGAGATATTAAATTTGCTGCTGAATAATAGAAATCTGGTCTGAAGTCTGTCCCTGTCAGATCAAATGTAAAGAAATAAGGGTAGAGGAAGAAATGCAGACCTGTTGCTCTTCCTGTTGGCTCGTTGGTTTGTCCCTTGCAGGTTGTCAGTTTGATTCCCGCACTGCTCCGTCTGACTTCTCCTCCGTCTGCTCACCGACTGATCTGCACACGCTCAGATGCCTCCCTCCCTCACGCCCTCATTCTCATTCTTCAGCCGTGCTCACTCGCCCTGAAATGAAATCATGTCTCTCTCTCTCGGTTAACCCCACCCCCACACTCTGTCTCGCACACACACACACACACACACACACACACACACACACACACACACACACACACAC